ATGTATTAATTCATACTTCATAGCAGTTTGGTCTGGCATACCCTCTAAACATAGGATATAGTTACCTAGAATGCCATAGATTTAAAACAACTAAACAAAAGAAGATTGTTAGAAAAAATAGATTGGAAGAACTGTCTTTAACTGAGGGGGGAAGGCAATGTCATAAATGAGAGAATTTATCTTTAAAAATAAGAGTAAATGTTTATTACATACATGAATTCATTATAATAGAGGATTGTCCTAATAAAAAATACTTCTAAGATTTTTGTATGTCTGCCTCAGGTAAGAATCTCACTAAAGTAACTATTTTCCTTGCATTTTTTTGCCTCTCCAAGAGTCATGTTCTACCTGTACACTATTTTCAAATCTCTTCTCCTTTGCTCTACTCACTGCAGAATTTAACTATGGTAAGAGAAAAGCAGGACATTTCAGCTTTTTAATTTTCCTGGGATGATCTCCAACTAAACACAATTACTTATTTTTCTGACCTTTTCTTAACTGAAATTTCAGCCACTTCCTTTGGAAACACCTAAACTTCAAACATATCATCAAAACTAAAAAAATAAGTCCATGAAACATCCAGGAACTTGGAATATAAAAGACAGTTTGTTTCCTATTATCTTGAAAGTGCTTCTTTGTGCTAGATGAGTTAGAGAGGTTTACTCTTTTTTTCATTCCTCTTTCTCATCGCTGGGGATGTGATTTTGATTATGTATTAAAATGAAAAAGTTCACCCGCCATTTGACATTCATTATAATAAAATTCATAATAAAACAAAGATGGGAGTGGCCTGCCCAAATCCGTCCGGGTTTTCCCATTTTACCACTGAAAATCTCGCATCCTGTGAAATCTTTTCCTGTGATGTAAAAAAATCATGGCAGCCATGATTTGCAAATCACAGAAATAATGGATCATTCATTATCACATGACGCTAAATGATGCAACTGAAGTATGTTGTAATCAAAGCATTAACAGTCATCTTTGTACATTGGAAGTTCAGATGAGAATGAGAATAGTTATGATACCAACACCAGAATGCTCCATCGTTACCAGTAAAGAAGGTTATAGTTATTATATATGGAAATATGTATAATATATATTATTACATATATTAGTATATAATAATATGTTATTATAGATGGATAGAAAGACACATGCATTAGGGAATTAGACCATACTGCACAATATGCAGAAAAGAATTTGGGATTGGACATTGTTATGGATTGAATTATATCCTGCCCCCAAATTGATTTGTTGAGGTTCTAAGTCCTATTACCTCTGACTGTGACTTTATTTGGAAATAGAGTCAATACAGATGTAATTAGTTAAGTGAAAATTAGGTCATAGTTGAGTAGGATGGGTCCTTAATCCAATATGACTGGAATCCTTATAAAAAGGGGAAATTTGGACACAGATATGCACACAGGGAAACTGTCACGTGAAGATTGGAGGTGGGCTGCCAGAAGCCAAGGAACTGCAAGAAGCTAGGAGAGAGGCCTGGAGCAGATCCTTCCCTAGAACCTTCAGAAGGAGCATGGGCCTTCCAACACGTTGATCTCAGACTTCTAGCCTCCAGAACTGTAAGACAGTAACTTTCTGTTGTTTAAGGCACCCAGCCTGTGGTACTTTGTTATGGCAGCTCTAGCAAACTAATACGGGCCTGCTAGAGATGGGGATGTAAAAGACTGCAGAGACTGAGTCTCACAAGTCTGGAATGAGACAGGCAGGTGCATCTAAATCCATCTGTACTTTTTTCATCTTCCAAAAAGACATTGTCGCTGAGTTGAAAATAGTAGGCACTGAATTAACATAGACCTATCACATGGATATACACATTTTATTTTTTCCCTTGATCATTCTGTGAAACTGACGAAAGTTACATTTCCTGATTCTCAGAGGTTGCAACTAAAACATCCTGTTGGTGAAAAAGGTAAATTTCGATAACAGATGTGTTGGCTTCTTACACATAGAGAGCTGATTCTGTTGGATCTTACCAACAATCATACTTTCTTCACTCTGTCAAGTGTTGCATGGAATCACAGCAACGCAAAGATGTTTCCCTAGCTCTTAGGTACTTTGATTTGAAAAATGGAGTTTCAAGTTGAATTTTTGATTCCTATAAAGATTATAAAGAAACCACATAAAACAAAAATTGTTGATGTATTGTTCATATGTGAATTAGATTTTGCTCAGTCTGTCTGCATATTTGGCAGACAGTGCAAATGTAAACTTGGCAAGTTCCATTCAGTCTATAAAATTCTTACCAAAGAAAATGAAAAGATACTACCTGAGAAACGTCTTCCACACCTTGCATAGTACAGTGCTAAAAAGGGGTGTGATTTGCTTACCTCTGATGTTGAGGCTTTCGTAGTGAAAGTTCTTTCTCACCTTTAGCTTCCTCAAAACCTGCAAGACCAGTGAGAGTTTTGACTTTATGGAAATGGAAGGAGATGACCTCCATAGACGTGTGCCTGCAACATAGCTACAATTGTTGCTAGCAAAGGTTGGCCACCTGCAAAATCACATGTTTAGAGTGTGGCAAGGAGAGTGTCCTTCTGTCATTTGGAAATAGAGGATGAGAAGGCAAAAAAGTATTACATTAAATAAACGGGTGTTTATGTACCGTTTCTCTAGTGTCTGGTGGAGTGCTAAGGAACCTGATAAAGCAGCCAGAAAAGGATGAACAGTCCGAACCTTAGTTGCCTAATGTGGTGTGCAGGTTGTGAAGAACACTCATACAATGGAATAATGACTCATTTTGGGGAAATAAGACTGCTTCTGAACTCAGAAATGTTACCAGAAAAGAGTAGCTACATTGAACAGGATTTTCTTTACTAGAACTGTTCACTCCATCCAGTATGCTTTGGAGTGTTGAAAAAGGATGGATATTTTACAAATGGGTAGTCTATATGATGAATTTATACATGCAAAGGACCTTGGAGACAAATAGCTGGTCTAGCAGAACAAGCCTGTAGGTTCAGAGCTCCCAAGAGAGCTGGGAACTTAATTCCTGTAACTCTAAAAAGCCTGCTGTTGCTAGTAAATAAAATCTTAAGTATTTTAAGCTCACACCTTTCTTAAAATATTTAGGTTGAGGTCATCCTGTTGGACTGATACCAGTAAGACAGACTTCTAAGAGCAGAGCTTTAAGTCAAAGTGAATTTTATGTTGGACTGTAGTTCATTCCTGGGGAAAAAAAAAAAAGGCAAAAACATGATATATACCTCACCTAAAGGCTACAGGCAGTTCAGAGAAGTAGTATTGGAAGAGTAAAAATATACTACTGTATCATGGATAAGAAGATGTGACTATTTTTTATTAAATATGGATAACAACTGTTTAGTCCCATTGTATTTACATTCCCCTTTTACAAAGTCTCAGATGTATGTTTCTTAAAATATACAATAATATAGCCTACTAAATTTAAATATCCAGAAAAATAGTTAAATAAAAGGGCAGAGAAGAACATAAAAATATTGGGGCACCTGGGTGGCTCAGTTGGTTAAGCATCTGACTCTTGATCTCGGCTCAGGTCATGATCTCGGGTTGTTGAGATTGTGATTCACTTGGCTCTGCATTGGGTGTGGAGCCTGCTTAAGATTCTCTCCCTCTGCTCCTCCCCTTCCAACTTTCCCTTTGCCCCCTCTCTAAATAGATAAATAAATAAATAAAATAAGTTTTCACATATTTTATTTGTTAAATTGTCCTATTCTTAATTACTACTAATTACCACTATTAACTAATCTTACTGTTTGTTTAAATAAAAGCTCTTATTGTAACAGAAAAGTAAATAGTACAGAACAATATATAATTTCAGATAAACATCGATTCTTCATAGTTCTCTGTTAAAGTAATAACACACGTGAGTAATTATTTCTCCTGTGTTGTCACGTGTTTTTGGAGTGGTGTGGCTGTGTGTCGGCTGGCTTAAAGTTGATCATCCCCTGTGCACAATACTACCTTACCCATTGTCTTTGCCTTTTGTCCCTCTTCCTTCCGTTCCTCCTCATCACACATTTCAGTTTCACTAAGGCCAGTGAGTTTGAGATTATAAAAAGTTCTAGATTAGTCTTGGAGAAGCTAATTTGTGTAACCAGCTCTGAATTTTTAATCCCTAAAATAATTTCCATGGAGAAGAACTGAAAATCTTCAAATAAAAAGTTCATTTTTTTTATTGCTTTATATTGTTCCCATTTGGAAGGCAGCGTGGTATAGCTTGTAGGAATAGGGTTTCTGACGTTCCATGTATAATGTTTTGGGGGGAGGCGGGACTATTTCTTTTTAAATTACATGATATTTTTGGAATGTATACTTTTCGTTCTTCTTTCTAATGTGTACTTCTTTGTTCTTCAGAGTTTATTAACTCTGCTCTACTTTTCCTATTATTAAATTCATACAATGTACTAGGCATCATGTTTCTAAATTCAGAGAGGTCCTGGGAGTGTGTGTTTTAGCTGTAGGATCTTCTGATTGACAAATATATTTTTCAGGTCAAATGTAATACATAAGTTTTAACATGTGTTGTTACATTTGGCAAATACGCATCTGCTCACAGGCTTACGCATTGTTATTTAGGATGTTAAGTACACTTTTGAGATTTTTATTAATGGACATAAAAATGAGTTTCTATCAGGTATTTAATTGCTATAAAATTCCTCAACTTCTGAAATTCACACTACTTTGGTAATTATTTCTACAGTGATTTGAGAATGCTGTTACCAATGGCTGTTTGCCGAATTCATTAGTTCAACATGGGACAACTGCTTAAAGATCTGTTTTTATGGGTGACGATAAGTGTACAATATGCTGTCCTTTAAAAATATTGTAGAATTCTAGTGACATTTCTAAATTCTCATGAAGAAGAAAATCAGCTAGGAGACTTGGTCTGTTTTGATATCAGTTGTTATTTTATGCTGAGAAGTTATTGAATATGCCTTTAATATTTGGAAATGTTGATAAGCATGTCCTCCCTGACATTATGTTTTATGTTTATCATCCAGAGGGATGGAGTCCTGGCATACGTTGGGAATTTTCGCCTGCTTGCAGAACTTTCCAGCCCTTTTGTGAATCAGCGGTAGGTGACTGATCTCATTATTTTAAACTTGTGTTGTTTCCTTTTAGTTTGGGGAGATTTTTCCCAAGATCCTAAAGCTACTAAATAAAAATGAGACTATGTGGTATGAATTATTATCTGTGCAAATGAGGAAACCAAGCCTTGGAAAGGTGAGAGAAACTTATCCGGGATCCCCTAGGTAGAAAGTGGTGGTCCCAGCTTTTGAACAGAGCTCTCTTTGAAGGATGGCGATGCTTTATTATACTTTGGTTCATCTCGGGTCCAGTTCACATTCTTGATACCAGCTTATTCCTGTTCCCAAAATCTGATAGCGACATTACATCTTCATCCCTCATTTAAAAAAAAAAATTGTCTTCTAATTTTAGATTTACAGAAAAGTTGCCAAGATAGCATAGGATAGCCAGGACCCTCCTCCACCTGGTTTGCCCTGTCGCCGATCTGTTACCTTACCATGGACCATTTGTTGAAACTTAAGAAACCAGCATTTATACATCACTGTTAAGTGAACTCCAGACTTTGTGGAATTGCATCAGGTTTTCCCTTAGTGTTTTCTTTTTGTTCTAGGACTCAGTCCAGACTGCGACAGTGCTTTAGTTTCGTGTCTTCCCAGTCTCCTGTGGTCTGTAACAGTTTCTGAGTCTTTCCCTGTTTTTCCTGACTTTGACAGTGTTAAGAGTACTGTCCAGTTATTCTGTAAACTGTCCCCCAGTCTGGATTTGTCTGTTTTTCTTAAGACTAGGTAGAGGTGATGGGGTTTTGGAAGGAATCCCATGGAGGCAAAGTGCCCTTCTCATCACAACATGTTAGGAGGTACATGATGTCCACATCACTGGGGATGTGAACTTGGCATCACATGGTCAAGGTGGTGTTTGCCAGGTTTCTCCACTGTGAAGTTTTTTCTTTTCCTTACTCTATTTAAAAGCAAGATACGAAGGATAGCCCACCCTCAAGGGGGGTGAGGGAGAAAGGAAATTAAGCTCCACCTCATGGAGGGAGGTAGATGCTCATATTTGCCAATGGATTTACTGTGGTGCTGTATGACCCTTACCTTGTCATTTAATGAGGTCTGCTGATATCTTTTGAAGATCTTTCCTGTGTAACGTTAGCTGTTCCTTTCACCCCATATCCATGGTCCTAGGTGAGGGCCTTCAGGATCTCCACAGTTCAGTCCACTGCCATGGCCTTCCGACTGACTTCCCCCCTTCCAGATTCACCCTCTCTTCCGTCCTGCCTTCACAGTGCTGCCAATGTAACCCTCCCTGTGATCCATTTTCTGGACCTTGTTTATTTTCTGCCAGAAACTGCATCCTGTTTAGACTCTTCTCTAACTTTGAGGTTCACTGTAATGTGCTCCATATGTTTCCAGCCTTATTTCTTACTGTTCATTAGAGTCAGTTTTGAACCCTTACTGTCTCATGCACCTGTGAGTGGTTCTTGAGTTTCTTCCCTTATTCACATCCTTAATTTCCCTTCCATCTTTGAAAAATTTGCCTATCTTTAAAATTTTCGGTCCGAGTCCCAAAGCCAGGGGAGGCTCCCATGATTGCATGTAGCCCTTTTGTGACTTAGTATAGAGATAACCTAGAGAATTGGGACTGTCAGATCAGACTCGCATGGGTTAGAGAGTGTACCCTGTATTAAGCCAAGGATCCAGGTAATCATGAGGCACTGGCAAAGCAGGGAGATTTTCAGGACCATCAGAATGGCTCCCTGGGTCCTTTTTGCATTGGGCAGACTCTGGAATAAGGTTATCTATGAGGGCTATAAGCAGTATGAGTAGTTCCTATTGCAGACATAGAAGGAGCTGTCTTGATTATGGAACGTCTCCATTTGATAGTCAGATAGTTACATAGCTTATGTAACATTCCCCACGGGGTCAGACCCCATAAATCCATACATTCTAGGTTTGTTTGCCATAAGCAGTCCTAGACTAGGTATATCCTAAAAGCATTCCATGGATGAGACTCTCCTGCAACAAATACCATTAGTCTGTTTATCAGGACATCTGTCATTAGTATGTTCACCAAGCAATTAGCCTGATCTTTAAAAAAAAAAAAAGTTTATTTATTTATTTGAGAGAAAGAGAGTGAAAGAGAGAGCAAGAAGTGGGGGGAGGGTCAGAGGGAGAAGCAGATTCCCTGCTGAGCAGGGAGCCCGCCGCGGGGCTCAATCCCAGGACCCCGGGATCATGACCCGAGCCGAAGGCAGACACTTAACTGACTGAGCCACCCAGGCACCCCAACCTGATTTTTTTTTTTTTTTTGCCAAAGGTGGTGGGGGCAGGGGAAGAGTGGTCCTTCCACCCCCAAAACAGGAGAGAATAGATTACAGGTCTGCTGCTGAAGCTTTTCTTTCCCAAGTTTTGCTTATTCACTGTCTTATTTTGTTTGCCCATATTTCAGATGGTGTAATCTTATTTCTTCAAGAAGATAATCTGTTTCTTGGGCTTGGCCATTTAAATTTTTAAAATAATAATTCTGCAATCCTCAAAGACTCTGATAATGTGAAAGTATAGAGCAAAGAGCATGTACTTTGAAGTCAAACGACCTGCATTCAAATCCAAGCTCTCCCACTTTAAGCCTTGTATATGAGTGGAAGATTATTTAATGTCTCTGAGCCTGGTGTCTTACCTATAAAACAGGGGTGATGATGACGATGCTTCACTGTTTGTTGTGAATATTCAATGAGATTACGTATATAAAGCACCTGGCATGGTGCTTGCCATTCGGTATATGTTCAGGAAGTGCTAAATGTCGTACATATTCAACACGCAAAAACCCGGGGAACACTGGAAGCGCATCGTTTATACTTGCTTTCTCTACTTTATTGTATCTTTTTTTGCTCTTTAACTCACTAAAATTAGGCTTCCTCTTTTGTTGCTGGAACTGTTTCATTGGAGTCACCAGTGACTTCCAGTTGCAAAATCCAGCAAACTCCCTTTGGTGCCTGTCTCATTGTGTCTCTCTGTGGACTGGAGGCTTTGGTCACCTCCTTGTACGGCCCAACTCCCTTTGCTTTCATGACACTGCACTCATGCAGTCCTTGCATGTCTCTGGCCATAACTCTTTCAGCCTCCTTGGTAAGACACGGTTCCATAAATGCTGGTGTTCCCTGACGCTCTCTTCTGGGCCCACTGATCTCCATGCTTCTCCCTGGGGTGAGTTCTCCTTTCAAGGTGTCAGCTACTACCTACTTGCTCATTTTTGTGTGATGGACTATGCATGAATTTTAAAACCAGATAAACTCAAGTTGTAATTCAGCCTTGCCACTTAACTTGCCCTGACCTGGGCTGTTATTTAACATCCCTGTACTACAGTTGCTTTGTCTTTAAAAAGAGCAGATTTGGGCGCCTGGGTGGCTCAGTTGGTTAAGCGACTGCCTTCGGCTCAGGTCATGATCCTGGAGCCCCGGGATCGAGTCCCGCATCGGGCTCCCTGCTCAGCAGGGAGTCTGCTTCGCCCTCTGACCCTCTTCCCTTTCATGCTCTCTATCTCTCATTCTCTCTCTCTCAAATAAATAAATAAAATCTTTAAAAAAAATAAAAAAATAAAAAGCAGATTTAATGCTACCTACTTCTTTGTATGATAGTCAAGTGTTTTCTCCTCCCAGGTGGCACAACAAATTCAACGTGTCTAAAATAGAATGCAGCATATTTCCCTCCGTAGTCTTTTGTATTCTCTTGTTCAGCCTGTGGCCCAGCTATTCTCTCAGTCACTCCTGCTCGACATGTGGGAATCATCTTTGACTCTTTCTCCCTCACCTACATTTGGTCCCTCATTAGGTCCTACCAGATAACCTCCTAAATATTTCTTGCCTTGGCCACTGACTGTCCATCTCTACTCTCAGTGCCCATCATCTCTTGTTTAGGCTCCTGTACCAGCTTCTAACCCTGTCCTGCCCAATAGGGTAACCACAAGCCACATGTAATTATTTACATTTAAATTAGATTAAATTAAATTAAAAATTCAGTTCCTCCATCTAACTTGGAACATTTCAAGTGCTGGACAGCCCCACGTGGCTGGAGTCTACTGAATTGGGTAGCACATCTATAGAACATTTTCATTATTGCAGAAAGTTTTTTTGGACAGTGCTGTTCTAGAGTGGGGGTTGGCAAACTAAGGCTTGAGGGCCAAACCCACTGCTGTTTTTTGGAAATAAAGTTTTATTAGGGCACAGCTATGCTCCTTTGTTCACATGACTGCTGTTACACTACAACAGTGGAGTCCATTTGTTGGGACAGAGACTGTACAGTTTCCAAAGCCTCTTACCTTATGTCCGCTCTCTGGCTCTTTGTGGAAGAAGTTTGCTGATTCCTGCTCTAGATAGACTGTCTACCTGTCTGCAGTCCTTTCCCCCTTTTATTTCGCTTCTATATTATTCTCTTCTGTGATGATCTCTCTAAAACACAACAATGAACATGCAGCCCCCCTGGTTGAATCCCCTCAGTGACTCTGGCTGCTTACAGGATAAAACATGGACTCTTTAATGGGATACAGAACATTTTCTGTTACATCTGTTATTCTTTCTGCCACATTTAACCCCCTCAGAAATCTCCTCTCATTCCAGCTTGTCCATGTGCTGGAAAGGTCTCCTGGTTCCTTACTTCCTTCAGGACTCAGCCTAAGGATTATTTCCATCACTAAACCCCACCTCTCTCAGGTCCGGTTGGGTGTCCCTCACCGGTGCTTCCATAATAGTGACGTACAGTTATACCATTATGATTAGTGTATTTTATGATAACATTCTCTCTCTCTCTCATTTTCTGTTTCTTACTCATCTCTGTGTTTCATTAGATCAGGGGCAAAATTTTGTTAAACTTTGCATGGTCCAGCACTCACTGTCTGGCACATAGTACCCATTTAATTATTTTTTGAAAAAATGACCCCCAGGAGGTGATCAGTTAAGCTCTAGCAATGTCCATCTCTTAAATATGATTCAAAATATGATATTTTGAAGCAGGAGAAAATTAACTCTGATGCTTAAAGGAACTTCAGTTTGTT